TAGGGTTTAGGGTTTAGGGGGGGCATCTCCTGATACAGGCCTTATATGCTCCTTGAAGCAGCTGCGAAGTCCTCTGCACCCAGGCCTTCCCTAAATAATTACCAATACGGCTGATGGACAAAATCCTGCATGACCCCAATATAGTATAGTATCATAAATCCCATAGTTTAGGTATATAAGGTCATGCAGGATTTTGTCCATCAGCCGTACTATTGTGGAGGTTCCTTATTATACTTATAATTTCTCTAAATCAGGGTCCCTTTTGGGTCCCCAATATAGTACGGCACGCTTATAAAAAGGATCCTAAAAAGGACCCTAATTTCGAGAACTCCCCATATATTTAATATGCCCCAAAACCCTATTCTAATTATTGAGGCCCCTAACATAGTGTCTTGGGGTGTCTGCTGTTTGTGCTACTGGGCTTGCTACAAAGCTTCGGTTTCATAGCTTCGGCATGCCAGGGCGGTTGCAAGATCATGGCCGGGCTGATCCCTGAACCCTAAGCGTTAAAATCCTGAACCCAAAGCCCTAAGCCCCCTAAGCTCTCAAACCCTAAACCCTAGGCCCTAAACCCTAAGCCCTAAACCCTGAACCCTAAGCCCTCAAACCCTAAACCCAAAGTGCTCAGCCCTAAACCCTAAGCCCTCAAACCCTAAACCCAAAGCCCTAAACCCTGAACCTAAAACCTCAAACCCTAAACCCAAAGCCCTAAACCCTGAACCCTAAGCCCTCAAACCCTGAACTCTAAGCCCGAAACCCTCAAACCCTGAGCCAAAAACCCTCAAACCCCAAGCCCTGAAGCCTCTGCTGCTGCTGCAAGCACCCAGAGCCCTTCAATAGGTTTTGGGCCCTGGTGCCCTACTTGGAGGCCCAGGGGACTTTGTAGGTAGGCTTAGAAGTAGAGTTAGAAGTACCGCAAGTGGAGTTACCCCAATTAGAACCCTACTTATAAACCGACTTACATTAGTCCCCTGGGCCTCTAAGTGAGTTTTCGTTGTCGGACTTCGGGCTTTTTAGGATGTTCTTTATTTAACTTAGGGTTTTAGATTATTTTGGGGCTTAGGATTTGTGTTTAGGGATTTTGGGTTTTAGGATTTTGGTTGTAGGATTTTGGGAAGTAGGGTTATCCACACCCAGCACCATCACTCCAGCACAGCCTTCGCCTGTGCAGCGCATCCCTCAAGAAGGGCTCTTCACAGAGACTGCCCAGCGCCTAAACCCTGAACCCTAAGCCATAAACTGCCTAAACCATGAACCCTAAACCATCAACTATAAATTGCCTAAACCCTAAACCCTAAGCCATAAACTGCCTCAACCCTGAACCCTAAAGCCCCTGATTTCTGTCAATCTTGTTTCCCAGCGGAAGATGCTGAGCCAGAGCCGGTGTTTAGGGGTAAAGGGTAGTATGGATCCCTTACGCTAAAACCCTAAAGCCTATAAACTTCAAATTAAAGGAGCCTTTAAACAAATCTTAAAGGATAGTATGGATCCCTTAAGCTAAAGCCCCCAACCCTAAACCTTAAGTTAAAGGAGCCCTTAACTGAATCTTAAAGGGTAGTATGGACCCCTTAAGTTAAAGGAGCCCTTCAAGGAATCTTCAAGGGTCCTATGGGTCCTTTGAAGGAGCCCTTACAGGCATGTAGTTGCGAAAGTCCTTAAACCCTATAAACCGGCCATGGCGTGCAGTTACGCCATCTGGCTTCTATGGCTTTTCGGCTGGTTTGGCTTAGGGAAGTCGCTTGGCAGCTGAACGGGTACACTTTGCGCCGTTTTTGGAATAAAGCTATACCCTACAAGCCCTAAACCCGAAACAGAAACTTTGCTGGCCTTAAACCCTGTACACCCTATAATCCCTAAACCTCCTCGTCATAAATATATCAGAAAAGGCCCGAAACCTATTCTAATTATTACGGCCCCTAACCCTATACTCCTAAACCCTAAACCCTAAACCCTAAACCCTAAACCTTAAACCATAAATCCTATCCTAAGTTTTAAGCCCCCCCATATTAAGGTTGGCTGTGGGGGATCCTGCTCCTTATGTGCTCGCCCTCAGCTTGGCCTCGCACTGGCGGATCCCAGCTCCCTTCGGGCAACAGGGCTCTTCTTACGGAATTTTGGGGTTTAGGGTTTAGGGTATGTTACAAGAATAAGGATTTATAGTAAATAATACGTCATTTGAAATAAATTTCGCAAAAAGAACTAAGGCAAGTCCCCCCATTGCTGGATCTACCGATGACCTACCTCGTTGGCCACAGCACCTTTTATTCATGCTGCTTCTGTGGTGTCTTGTTCTTCACCTCGCACTCGCGACCTTGCTGGCTCCTCTCCTCTGTGTCCTGCGCCGTGGCCAGTGTGCGGCGCTGGCGTGCTGTGTCACAGTTCGAGCGGCAGCAGCAGCCGCGACCACCCCAGCCCTGGCTGACGCTGCTGAATCCCTACCTCTATATCTTCTTCTCCGAGGTGGGAGTTTCCGAAAATAAGGGGTACCGTATTTTGGGGTTCTTATAATAAGGATCCCATTCTTTAGGGTACTATAGTACGGTCCCCTATTTTCGGAAGCCCCCAGGTGCCCGGGAAGAAACCCTCGGCTCCGATCCGCCTCGAGCAGATCCGTCCTTCATCGCTTGAAGCGCCCATCGACCTGTGGTGGCCGCCAGTTCCGAAGCCCAGGGATGGATACCCTGTGCCTTAGGTTCCTGAGTAGTACCCTTTTGCCCCTTTTCTTTTTGGGGTTCCCTTATACTAAAACCAAGTAGTAGGAAAAAGGATACCCTTAGTATTTAAGGGGCTACTGGGGAACCTAGGTGCTGTTCCTGATCCACGGCGGTGCCTGGCGGGGTGGCCATAGGCGCTGCTCGCCGCAAGCACCAGCCCTCCAAGCCCTTGCAGCTGCAGGATTCTTGATCATCAGCTGCGAGTACCGGCGAAAAGGTGCACAATGGCCCGCACAATTGGATGACTGTAAGGCTGCTCTTGAGTGGCTCGATAAGGAGGGAGCCACCTTGGGCGCAGACTTGTCGGATGTCTCCATTCTCGGTACTTCTGCCGGCGGGCACCTCGCGGCACTGCTTATGGCTCGTGGTGCTTCTGGGTTCTTGTTGAAGAACGTAGCTAAAGTTACCACAGATAGGGGTCTATAGTACTAAACACTACGGCTTCCCTATTAAGGTACCTTAACTTCCTTGAAGCCTTACCTGGACCTCAAAAGTATGTAGAACAGCAGCCTTTTGTAGGTCTTGCGCCATTATTTTGACCACTTTTTGGGGGGTGTAGGTAACCAGAAGTCCATAATACATGCTACTGTTATGGAGTTAGTTAGACCCCAAAAGACCATCCTTATCGTGGTTTTGGGGACCTAATTCCGACGTAGTAGTATATGTGGACCCTCTTGGACCAGAATCCATCTAGGACATTCTCGTGTGGGTAGTTACCGTTATAGGAGCCTTATGGAAGGTCTATATACCTTATGGAAGCCTTATAGAAGCCCTATATACCCTAAAGTCCCCACCTGTATGATTCCTTCAAATCCAGGCTTCTCCCATCCGGTTCCGAGCTGCGCTTCTCTGCTACCCAGCCCTGGATCCGGCGGATCACAGCCATGCGACCGTGAAGTCACCGTTCTCCTGCGGTTTGCTGCGTGTCCAGCGTGGGATGAGCCTTAGTAGTATAGAGTAGGCAAGCTTTATCCGTTTTGGGGTACTAGAATCCCTGAACTATCCAAAAATTCAACTTTGAATTATAGGTCCCTAAACCCTAAACCCTAAACCCTACTGGGCAAATTAAGGAGTTTCATGGCCTGGTTCTTCGAGGTCTTCGTCCTTGGGTGCGATCGCCAACTCTGGGAGTGTGCTGAACCGTTACAAGCACTGAAGTGTGCCAGCCGAGAGCTTCTTGGTAGAAGGGTAGGTCACCTTTTTAACATGTCTGGTAGTAGTAGAGTAGGTTACCTTTTTAACATTTTTGGTGGTAGTAGAGTAGGTCACCTTTTTACCATTTCTGGTGGTAGTAGAGTAGGTTACCTTTTCAACATGTCTGGCGGTAGTAGAGTAGGTCACCTTTTTAGCATTTCTGGTGGTAGTAGAGTAGGTTACCTTTTTAACATGTCTGGTAGTAGTAGAGTAGGTCACCTTTTTAGCATTTTTTGGTAGTAGTAGAGTAGGTTACCTTTTTAACATTTCTGGTGGTAGTAGAGTAGGTCACCTTTTTAGCATTTTCGGTGGTAGTAGAGTAGGTTACCTTTTCAACATGTCTGGTGGTAGTAGAGTAGGTCACCTGTTTAGCATTTCTGGTGGTAGTAGAGTAGGTTACCTTTTCAACATGTCTGGTGGTAGTAGAGCAGATCATTTTTTAACTTTTTTGGTGGTAGTAGAGTAGGTCACCTTTTTAACATTTTTGGTGGTAGTAGAGTAGGTCACCTTTTTACCATTTTTGGTGGTAGTAGAGTAGGTCACCTTTTTAGCATTTTTGGTGGTAGTAGAGTAGGTCACCTTTTTAACATTTTTGGTGGTAGTAGAGTAGGTCACCTTTTTTACATTTCTGGTGGTAGTAGAGTAGGTCACCTTTTTAACATTTTCGGTGGTAGTAGAGTAGGCCACCTTTCTAACATTTTTGGTGGTAGTAGAGTAGGTCACCTTTTTAACATTTTTGGTGGTAGTAGAGTAGGTCACCTTTTTAACATTTTTGGTGGTAGTAGAGTAGGTCACCTTTTCAGCATTTCTGGTGGTAGTAGAGTAGGTCACCTTTTTAGCATTTTTGGTGGTAGTAGAGTAGGCCACCTTTTTAGCATTTCTGGTGGTTCACCTTTTTTAACATTTTTGGGGTACTGGAGTCCTTATATAACCTTAAGGGTTGAGCTTTGGTCGTTTTAGGAGACTGGACAAGCAAGGCTTGCAGAGGCCTGGCCTCCCACTTTGATCATCCATGGCGAGTTGGATGGTATAGTCCCCATAGAGCACAGCCGCCAGTTTTTGACACAGCTTGCAGCCACGGCCGGTGCTACAAAGCAAGGAGGAGAGGAGTGGCGGAGTCAGGATCGGCTCTTTGCTGTGCCTCTCTCGCGGCATTCTTTCGAGATCGCCACCGGTGATCTAGCAGCAGCTTCCTTCGATGCTGCGATCGGCTGGCTTACCCGCATGCCAAAATCAGCTGTAGAGCACCGGCACCAACACTCGTGAAACTTGAAGTCTTTTCCCTATCTTAGCCCTCAGCAGTAACCCGCAGGCTCGATAGACCCTGAACCAAACCCGTAACCCTCAGCCCTGAACCTATAAACTCTCAAGGGGCTGTAGTACCGACCTCTATCAAACCGAGGTACCTAGGAAAGATGTAGGCGACCCTACGCCGGAGAAGCAAAATTTCGATGCAACTATGATCCCCCGATAGATGGTCCGAACAAAGCGCCCCTTCAAGAGATGGTTTCGCACCAGACCCTACACCCCCAAAACCCCACTGTCTCCATTCCGAAAACCTTCAATCCTTCGCCCAAGGCCCAACACACCAGAGTTTGACCCCTTAAGCCTACTAGGACCCTGTAAAACCCACCTTTCAGGGTTCCTTATTGTGATTCCCTTCTATAAGTCCTTATAAAGGCAGGTTAGTTTGGGAATTCTAGGGGTTTGAGTTTGGGTGTTTAGGGCTCGGGTTGGGGTTTAGGGTTTAGGGTATAGGGTTTGGGTCTAGGTTTTATGCTGTAGGGCTTGGGTTTTTAGGGGTTTGGGGGTCTAGGGTTTAGGGTTTTGACAACATACACCTCACACACTGAAGGGCTTGGACACCCCTAACCTCGAAGTTCCTTAAATCTTACTTTTACCCTATCAATCCTACGTTCCTTGCGTTCTTGGTTACTATTTCTTTATATGAGTCCTTGAAAAGGTAGGTTACTTGGGTTAAGGTAGACGCGACACCCTGAGAACCCTACGTGGTAGCCCTAGTAATGTCAGCTCTCACTAGAACTTTTATACAGCTCCGATACAGTATCCGCATATAAGCCCTAAACCTCCAAAGCCTAAAACCCAAAAAACAACTGTGACCATAAGAGAGCCCAATGCCCCCTGATTTGAGGAATATACCTTAAATCAGAAAAGAATAAGGCCCCTATAAGTTGAGGTATATTCCGTATTGTTTAGCTAAGGAGTTTTGGGCTTTCTTGACACTACCCTAAACCCTAAATCCTGAAGCCCCAAACCCTAAACTGTAAACCCTAAACCCGAAACCGTACCGCTTAAAAAAAAAACAACGTACCGCTCAGGCAACCTTTCAGGAGGCCAGCGGTCTAAGCTGCTGCTCGGTGCCGCCTGCTGGACGAAGCCACACGCAGGGAGCTCAGCCTAAGATTGGGCTTTGGGGTTTACAATAGGATTTGGTGTTGAGAGTTGAGTGTCTGGGGTTAAGAATTGAGGGTTCAGGGTTTGGGGTTCAGCGCTTCGAGTTTTGATTAGGATTCAAGACTCACGGTTTTTTGATTGGGTTCAGGGCCTCGACAGGGGTTTGGGGTTTAGAGTTGGGTTCGCTTTTTGGCATTGGAATGTGGGGTTTTCGGATTTGGGTTTTCATTTGGCTTACGAGGCTTATGGGGCGCAGGACCTCGGAAGTGGTAGTTGTGTATGTCTCGGTCTGGTGCTGTTGTGGGTGTTAGGATCATCGTTGATGCAGGGTTCGGAGCTAGTTGAAGACTGTATTCACGGTTAAGGTTTGTTATGAGCGTTTGTCTATAACTGACACCCACATATACACATGTGTATATGTATAGGTGTATATATATATATATATATGTGTGTGTGTATGTATACACACATATATACATATACAGATAGATGTAAACAGGTACATGTGTGTGTGCATATACATACGTACAGATTTACATACACATACGAATGCATACGTATACACGCATACATACATACATACATACATACATACATACATACATGCATGCATACATGCATACATGCATACATGCATACATGCATACATAGATACATACACACATATATATATATATGTACACCTACATACATACATACATACATACATACCTACATACATACATACATACATACATACATACATACAAATGTATATGTGTGTGTGCATACATGTATGTATATCGGTAGGTAGGTAGACAGATAGATAGGTAGATAGATAGAAAGATAGGTAGATAGATAGGTAGACAGATAGATAAATAGATAGATCGGTAGATAGGCAGATAGGTAGATAGATAGATGGAGATAGAGATAGCTGAGAAAGATATAGTAACCCCCTCTTGACTCACGCGTCTACATGTTAGACCGACATAGAAGAACAATGTTTTAAGCATCACTCCGCGAGACAAGCTTCACACGGTGTTTATTATCGAGAAGACGTCGAGGTGAGTCATGGGTTGCCCATACATACGTATAAATGTATACATGTGCATATGCTTGAATTTGCACATTTACAACAATACGTATATTTATACGTAGATTTACAGGCATATATATATATATATATATGTATGTATATACATAAATACATATGCACACACACACACACACACACACGCGTGCACGTGCACACCATGCAAGGCAGCGAACTCGCGTGCAGTTCGTTTCGAGCACTGTGGCCGCTTGCTTTGCCGGACAAGACCCAGTCAATCACAAAACCTTCGGTAAAGTTACAGCCAGTTAAAGCCGCAATCATATTCATGCTTGGGGGGGGGGGGGCTATTTTCACTATTGTAGTAAGTCTACCTTGTATCTCTACGACCCGTGCATGGCCTTGTTCAGGCAACGCAAAGCCCCAGTGTACATGCCACGGGTTCTTGGAGGGTTTTCTGTGGTTCCTGGGTTCTTTCAGGGCTCTGTTTCGGATGGTTCTCGCTGCTTCCAGATCTGCGCGCCTAACCGTAAGCCCTGAACCGTAGGCCTTAACCCTAAACACTGTAAAAACGTCGAAGCCCCGAACCCTAAACCTGAAACATTAATTAACTTCTTTGTTCTACCCATGGCTCCGTTGTGCTGGTTCTGTTGTTTAATCAACTCAATGGTTCGGGTCCTAAGAGATGAAATTGACAAACCCAAACAACGTAACTCCAACGGAGACGAATATAGGGGCGGAAACAATAACCAATGCTATTTTGGGGATTCCTTATTATAACTATAGTATAACATCCCCCCCCCCAAAAAAAAACCTTAGTCTAATTATTGAGGCCCAATATTATATTTAACCTTATAAGGAAATCCCAAGCAGGAGCTACTATGGAGCCTATGGGTATATGTAGGGCTCTGTGGTCATGCCTGCAAGAGGTTCTGTGCCTGGACGAACCTACGAATTTCTTGGACATAGAAACTGCCAGAGCCTAAGCGATTTGGGGTTGAGGGCTTAGGAGCTCTGTCGTTTAGGGTTTAGGGTTTAGGGGCTCTCTCGTTTAGGGTTAGGGTTTGGGTTTAGGGTTTAAGGTTTAGGGTTAGCGTTTAGGGTTTAGGGGCTCTCTCTTTCTCGGACCCTAAACGCATGCCGTGATCACTGGTAGGGTTTTATGGTTTGAGGTTTAGGGTTTAGGGAAAGGGGTTACCCTAGCAAGCTTACTGCACGGGTTCCTGGAAGGGGTTAGTCCTTGATTCACGTTGGGTTTGTGACTGTCCGAGTTGCTCGCGTGGTTGTTTCCATCAGGGGTTTGGCGTTGGAGGATTTGGGGCTGGGGCTTGCGGGTTCGGAAATGTGAGGAAGAGCCCCCCAAACCCCAAACCCTAAACCCTAAACCCTAAACCCTGGTTCAGTCCCCACCGCACGCATGGTCTGAGAGTGAGAACATGGCCCCAAGAGCCCCAAAACCTTACACCCTAAACCCTTAGACCCCAAGACCATGCTCTACAGGCAAGCCACGCCATGAAGGGCTGTTGAGCCTGCCAGGGCTTTCGGGTTTAGAGATTGAGGAGGTTTTGTTTAGTTTCAGGTCGAAGCAGACGACCGTCTCATCGGCGTCGCTTATGAGAGTAGGATCGAAGAATCTGGCTGCTTGCTCCTTCAAGCTGAACGGCACATTGGCAGTAGGATACCCCGAAACCTAAACTGTAAACCCCTAAACCCTAATTTCTAGTTTTCATCAGGTTCGACCAACCGACCAACCGAGGTACAAGAGTCCACCCTTCTCGAACTTTACCAATCCCAAAATCAGGCCTTAAACCCAACAAGTGGGGACGTGAGTAATATAGGTTAAGAAGTATTTCGGCAGTTATCTAGTCCCTATACCCTTCAATAGGTAATTTCCAGACCTTCACCCTAACCCTAACCCCTACCTGTGGCCCAAATTTCTGCCTTTAAAGGAATCATGTATAGAAATGATAATAAGTAAGCTTGGGCCAAGGTTGAATCCCTAGGACGTGCACTTCGCAATTTCCGCGGCGGCGTTGTGGTGGTGAGCCATAACCAGGAGGGGCCGGGCAGGGGTGGGTTGGTAGTTTAGCAAATTTCCGCTGTGATCCCCGTAGACTTTTAGACTTACAGCTAAGATACCTTCGCAATCCCTGTTGCTAGCGATTAAAGCCCTATGGATATTGAACCTACCCCGAATCTTGAGGCTTGTTAGGCTGAGGACCGAAATCCTACGCCCAGCGGCCTGAACCCCTGAAGGCGTTTCGGTGGGATTAAGCGGTTCAGTTTAGGCTCCAGACGTTCCGTCTTGTTCCAGGAGTTCCTGTCCACCGTTTGTACCGAGACCTGGCATGTGCAAGATCGTCAGGACGGCAAGAGCGGATGGGGTTTAGGGCTGGGGGCCTCAATAATTACCTATACTATTCTGGGGGTTCCTTATTATAATGAAACTATAAAGGGCCCCAAAGCCCTATTCCAATTATTGAGGCCCCTGCAGTAGGGTTGGGGGCTTTGATCTGGTTGAAGGTGTTCAGGGTTGAAATATAGGGGCCTAAATAGATTCCATTACTGCTTGGGGGGGGGTCTTGTTTATAATTACAGTATAGTGGACTCCAAAACCCTATTCTAATTGTGAAGGCCCCTATATTAAGCGTTTCGTGTAACCACTGCACGCACTGAGACCCTAAACCCTTGGGTCCAAGTGCTTCATCTGCGTGCACGCACCAAAATACAAGCCTGCGGCTACTGCTATCAGACAACCGACCGAAGCACCTAGTCATCTACGTAGTTGTCGGGTACTCTGTGACTGTCCTTGTTCTTATTCTCGTTAGACTTACTACACCAACTCTGTATCAAAGCTTTGGGGGTGGACTTCGGAGAAGGAAGTTTAGCACCAAACGTATTTGGGATCGTGTCCTCTTAAGTCGGCATTAGCCGACATTTCACCTCCTACCACACAGCAATGCCAGCGCAGGGTTCTCCGTTGGTTCAGGTTGGAAAGGAACCTTGGCTGGGCCTCCCAAACTTACATATCCCTAGGCCCTACCAACGACTATGTAGCTACTTAGGACCCTTTGGGACTCTAAAGCCCTGCAAGTCAAAGGACCACTGTGCCGCCAACGAAAACTTAGGGGTCAGTTGTGTTAGGGTTTAGAGGTTTAGGGGTGTACCCATAGGCTCCATAGCAGTTCCTTGCTGGGATTACCTTATAGGATCCTACATACAAACAACAAAAAGGAACTACTATGGAGCCTATGGGTAGGGACCGGAAACCCTAAACCCGAAACCCTAAACCCTTGAAACCCTTCAAACCCTGAACCCTAAACCCTTGAAACCCTAAACCCGAAACCCTTCAAACCCTGAACCCTAAACCCTGAAACCCTTGAAACCCTGAACCCAAAACCTTGAAACCCTAAACCCTAAACCCTAAACCCTAAACCCTAAACCCTAAACCCCTGTCCTCGGCAGGTGAGGGTCGAGAAGGTGGACATGAAAGTGAGCAAGGCAGCTGCTCTTCAAGGACTTCC